GTATGTAACTGTTAGACACAAGGTATAGTAACAGTTACAGATTTTTTAAATGGTTTATTACAGACATTACTAGTTATGGTTTTCCTAGAGCCATGGCGTGACTTTGCCTGCAGTTTGTGACTGTAACTGTAGTAAAGACCTAGAAATAAGAATTTCAATATTTGCCTGCTAACTAAAACTCATGATTTCTTTATCTTAATTTTGGTTCAGATAACTTTTGTTAGTTAGGTTCATTTTGTGCACACAAGTTTTCTTTCTGTGAAGAGTCACTTTCATTAAAAAAATATCTACGTTAAGTTATTGAAAATAAATTAACTCTTTCCAATTGTAATATTTAAAGTACTGATTAAAAAGCACCTGTATGTTAGAAGTGGTGAATTGATTGTGTTTGTTTTAGGTTCGAATACTTGTGGGCTGACAGGAGTAAGTACAAGAAACCAACTCCTCTGCCAGCACCACAGTACATTGCGTTACTAATGGACTGGGTGGAGGAACAGATAAATAATGAGGAGATATTCCCTGTTACATTTGGTAAGCTGTAGTATCCATGTGGTATAATAAATATAGTTTTGAATCTGTGCTTCAGTAGTTTATGGATGTAGAACTTGACTTCAATGGTTTTATTACATTTTAAACTTCTTTTTATCCGTATCAGCTTCAAGAGTTTAGTAAAGTAATATTAACTTTTGGCACAGGTTCAGAAATAAAAATTCCAAAACGAATACTCACATATTCTCACTGAATAGCTATCTTCCTCATCTGTTTTAAGTGCTTTAACAAAGAAATTTGCAAGCCACTAGTCTTATGAAATCTCTCACCTAATTGCATGTGAAATCATGTGAATTTGCACTACTGTATGATGATGATGATGTCATCATGCAGCAGAACCCTCCATCAATAGGAGTCCAACACACCTCCATGTGCAGTGACTCCCCCCTATGTTATGTCTTTGTGAATCCTCATACGTTTCCTTGGTAATCAGACGTATTTAAATTTATTGTCTGTGTTCAATTTAATATAATCTGCATTGTTAACAAAAATTTGATTTTTGATTTCTTTGGCTGTTGTTTGAAAAGCTTTAATATTTTATCATGACTTTTTGAATGATGGTGATTTATAAATAGTCCTGAATGTGGGATGTTGTTCACACTTAGGCCTTATTTCTTCTGTGGCTTTTAGAGGCCAATTAACTGTCAGGATCATAGCAGCCATTTTTCATTGTGTTGTGAATTACGTCATGCTTAATGGGCCTCTAACTTGCATCTCTTCAGCCAAATCTCCTCCTTATTCAGGAATGATCTATTAGACTACGTCATTCACTTACTTTGCTTTATGTAGTACTGTACCATTCGTTAAATGACCTTAACCTTTCCATCTCTTACTGGATTCTGTTCTCTTCTATTTTACCTGTGTTCTTTATTATATTTCATTCTCTTACTTTATGACCCACGTTTATTGACTTAAGTGTTTCGTTAAGAAAACATAATGCTTATTGCAGTTAGAAAAAATATCCAAATGATTACAGACATTTTTCAAAGGTACAGAAACGTAGAGGGTTAGAATGTTTTACTGAAAAATCTTTTCCATAAATACTCACTTGTAGAGTCACGTCAGTTTGTTTCCTTCATTTCTTGATGTGTAAAGACTCCAGCTGTCACTTCAGTTTTGTGTAATTTGTACTCGTGAAGGGATATCGAACACACATTAACGGATGACTGGATAACATTTGTTCACACTTTTACCATCTTTATGTCCAACTGTAAGGATGACTGGATAACATTTGTTCACACTTTCCCCATCTTTATGTCCAACTGTAAGGATGACTGGATAACATTTATTCAAACTTTTCCCATCTTTATGTCCAACTGTAAGGATGACTGGATAACATTTGTTCACACTTTTACCATCTTTATGTCCAACTGTAAGGATGACTGGATAACATTTGTTCACACTTTCCCCAAGTTTATGTCCAACTGTAAGGATGACTGGATAACATTTGTTCACACTTTTACCATCTTTATGTCCAACTGTAAGGATGACTGGATAACATTTGTTCACACTTTTACCATCTTTATGTCCAACTGTACAGCAGATGAAATCATATTGAACCTGTGCTTTTGTTTCTAATTTAGTGATTGATCATATTAGGGATTTTTATTTATATAAAGTATATCTTGCATCATGTATTGGGAACTACCAAGAATATGATGTTAATAAAAACACAACTGTTGGATCAAATGGAACAGCTAAACCCTACTTGTTGCAAAAATGAATACCCTCACATATGATTACAATGCTGAACTAATGTAAACTCATACAAGCAATGGAACAAGGTGACCAACCATTTACAGAATTTTTTCTGGGCTCCATTGAAAAATGTAGTTTTTTAAGAATGTGCTTATGCTTTACACATGTTAAAAATTTCCATGATGTTTAAACTTAATTATATATAAATGAAAATGGTAGAAAAATTCCAGGTTTCTAAATCATTTTCTTGTTGAGTGGGTTGGTTGGAAAAATTCTGGGCAAATCCAAACATTTCCAGGCAGTTGTCTACCATGATAATGGTAAATCACGTGATAAGTTGCCCGGGTAAATACCCAAATTTCAGAGGTAAATAATGAAATGACCGACAAAATAAGATATTTCTACATGCCATAGTTTTTAAGAGTAAAAAGTTAATCTGTTTCCGTAAGTGCTTCATAATGAGAACGTAGTTTTAACTTCATAGGTGGATTGAAGATGATAATTTTTCTGTAGTTCAGAATGTCAGAGTCATTTCTAGTTTTTGATGTGATGCAAGTTATCCATTAAACAGTATCATTTTGAAACCTCTTTGTGTTATTAATAGCTCAAGCTTTCATAACTATTTTTTTAACAACCAATTTGCGAGAAAAGACAATAATACATGGTAAGGATAATGTAATACATGATAAGGGTATTATAATACATGATAATGGTATTGTAATACATGATAAGGGTATTATAATACATGATAATGGTATTATAATACATGATAATGGTATTATAATACATGATAAGGATAATGTAATACATGGTAAGGGTATTGTAATACATGGTAAGGGTATTGTAATACACGATAAGGGTATTGTAATACACGATAAGGGTATTATAATACACGATAATGGTATTGTAATACATGATAATGGTACTGTAATACATGATAAGGATAATGTAATACATGGTAAGGGTATTGTAATACATGATAATGGTATTGTAATACATGATAAGGGTATTGTAATACATGATAATATTTAATACATGATAAGGGTATTATAATACATGATAAGGGTATTGTAATACATGATAAGGGTAATGTAATACATGATAAGGGTATTGTAATACATGATAAGGGTATTGTAATACATGATAAGGGTATTGTAATACATGGTAAGGGTATTGTAATACATGATAAGGGTATTATAATACATGATAAGGATAATGTAATACATGATAAGGATAATGTAATACATGATAAGGGTATTGTAATACATGATAATTCCTGTGTATAAATGAAGTTTTAGATTGAGCTGTTGCCCAGTTACAGTTGTTGTGTTACAGCACTGTTAACATTGCTTGTACATATACAAAAAATTCCAAAAATGTGATTTTGGTCATTGGTATTTATATCTGAATATGCATTTATTTTGTCCCTAAGTGTATTAAAGGCTTAAATAATGTTATATGGGAACACAAGGGCCTCAACAAATATATTCCATGCTACTAGCTCCCTGGGTGTCACATCAACTAGAGAGATTGATATGACTAATATAGTTGATACTTCCAACATTGAATAAACAGGTAATGTTTCTCATATATATATATATATATAGGCTAGGCATTCAAAACATAGAATTTTTTTATCGTGATGTGGCTGATAAGTCATATAAACATTCAGTTGATCGGATGCTGATTAGAAACAGACTACCCAAATGAGTACGGATGTGTGAATCAACTGCTTTCTAAGCAGTAGTAGCAACAGCAAACATCTTTGACCAGTTAGTTGTGAGGGTAGCATTACACAGAAAGAAAAAATAGATATGAATAGCACAGGGTGGAATCTAGAAGTTTTTGCCCATGATGAACCTAGGGCAGTGTATGATACCAAACTTGGAAGTTTGCACTGGTAGCACCAATTGCCAAATGAAACTTGCACTGGTAATATCAAAGCTGATTTATCACCAGAAGAATTAGACATTGAGGTATGGTCAAGGTACACAAGGAGGCTTTACGTGAAAGTTTCGTCGAGCTGTTGGGAAGGTTTTACATACAAGAGACAGTTATTTAGTGGAAAGTATATGCACCTAACACCAATGAACCAACCCTAAGAGACCAGCAAATTTGATGATACTAATTGCTTCTTAGTGTACAGAAGATGAATGGCAAACTTCCTATTGTGAAGATCTAACTTCATATTTCGTGTTTTTTATCAGCATTTTCTCTATTATGAGATCTCGGTAGTGAACCATGCATTTTGATACTAAACACCCGACTTTTTTGCTTATTTTAGTATAAATATGCTCATTTTAAATTATAAGCAAGCGAGTGTCTTGTTACAATCAAATATACTTTTAATCTGCATTTACTTCTTCATCTAGCACCTTCTAATTGTGAATATTGCTCTGAAAAAGTGATGACTACCTTGGCAGGTGCCAATGAAAAGGTGCTTCAGGATTTTTCTATTGCATTCTTCATATCCTGTACAGATCTCCAATAAAATACTAACATTCATTCTAAATGAAAAAAGTGTTATTTCATGCAGAAATAGTTTTTAAATTTCAACACAGACTGGTTCTAATGGGCTGCTATAATAAAAAAATTACCACAGACTGGTTCTAATGGGCTGCTATAATAAAAAATTACACAGACTGGTTCTAATGTGCTGCT